CCGAAAAAGGTACCAAGCCATGTGGCTAACACAGACAAGTATTATGAGCTAGTATAAGTTATAAGAGTTAATAAGAAGCCTGAGCTACTAGACCAATCAGTTTATGATGAATGTAGACCTCTGTGCATTTCTTTGGGACTGAATGACTGCGGGACCTGGTGGGACAGAAATCTCTGTCAACACAGGCAGATCTCTATGTGTTTGAGGCTAGCCTTTTCTACAAAGAGAGTTTCAGGACAGACTCTACACAGAGAAACTCTGTCTTGAAAAACAAACAAACAAACAAACAAAAACCCCAAAACCAAAAACAAAGAAACAAACAAAAAAAAGCTGAGGATGCCCAGATGGAACTGTGGCTCTCTCCCTTTCTCCTCCCTCCTTTCCTTCCCTCTTTCTGGATTCACCTCCCTCCTGTCTACCCACTCTTGGTATCATTGTGCCAGGTGATGGAGACATAGTGATTAAAAACATACCACGCCTGCTTTCAATGTGCTGTGGTCAAGTAGGTAAGATAAAAAAAAAATGAAGATGTCAGCTATAGGCAAGGAAATGAACATCCTGACAGTGTTTTATGGACTTTGTTGGTGAAATGGAGAGTTAGATGAGGAAGCTTCCTAGAGCAGATTGAGCACAGAGAAGGAGCCAGACCTAAGTACAGGTAAATTCCATTCTTCTTGATTACTTGTTGGCTTGTCTGTGTGAAAAAGGAAGAGCAGATGCTGTGGAACAATCCTTCTTGTAAACTATGAATATGTATTGCTCTCATTGGTTAGTAAAGAAGCTGATCAGCCTATAGAAAGGCAAGAGGAAGTTAGGTGGAACAATCAAACTGATGATACAGGAAGGAAGAGGGGTAACGTAAGTTCCTGGCAGGCGCAGGGAGAGCAAGATGGCCATTCCTTGAGGAGAAAATGTACCAAGCCACATGGCAAAACATAGATAAGAAATATGGTTTAATTTAAGTGTAAGAGTTAGCTAGTAACAAGCCTAAGTTATTGGCTGAGCATTTGTAATGAATGTCGAGTCTCCAAGTTGGTTATTTGGGAAGCCTCTGAGGAATGGGAAAACTCTGCTGACAAGCAGAGGATCTGTTTCAAAACAACAGCAACAACAACAAAACAACAAACAAAAGCCAAAGTTCAGGTATTGTGTAACATACCTTTAATCGCAGCACTCAGGAGGTAGACAGATCTATGAGTTTGAAGCCAGCCTGGTCTTCATAGGGATTTCCAGGCCAGCCAAAGCTAGGTAGTGAGGCTTTGTCTCAACAAAAACAAACAAACAAACAAACAAACAGATAAATAAGCAGATAGATAAACAGATAAATAAACAAGTAGGCAGATAAATCAATAAGAAAGGACAGAACTGAAAAGATGGCCCAACTGTTCAGAGCACTTGCTGCTCTTGTAGGGGACCAGCTTGGTCCCCAGCACCCACAATAACAGCTAACCCATATCCAGTGCCAGAGGACTCAACACTTTTTTCTGGCCTCTATGGGTACCAAGCACAAACATGGTGCACACATACATACATGCTTGCAAACATTCTCACACATAAAACAACAAACCAAACAAACACTAATTCCAAAGCCAAACAGAGATGGTTTATACATGCTTCTCAAAATAATACTGCTCCAGGGCTATAGGCCTAGTAAAAGTTAGGAATAAGTGGCAGTGAGATGCCTCAGCAGGTAGATCTGCCTGCTACTGTGGCTGAGAACCTGAATTTAACCCTTGGGACCCATATAGTGGGAAAAGAGGACCAACTCTTGAAGATTGTCTTCTGGCCTCCACACATACACACGTGCTTTGGTAGAACAATGGCCGACTCTGGGGTGGAGGTGGGATGATAGGGGATGGGGGTGATTGCATACCCTTGCGTGGAAAGTAAAGGAAGGAGAAAGACTGTCACTCTGAGTAAATTTCTAAATGCAGATCTCTCAGCTCGAGGAGAAGAAAATGCAAACAGGGCCAAAGGAGAGAAATGAGTAGCAGTCCATTTGTTCTGAGTGGGTACTCTCAGTGAAAAAAATCATTACACTTATTTACTGTGTGCATTTTATTTATTTATTTATTGTGTGTAAGTGTGTGTGGGGAATGATTTTATTTTATTATTCTCATTCTCTATCTCAGGGTACCCACGTGAAGGGGTCAAAGAACACCTTTGAGGAGTTTGTTCTCTTCTTCCACCTTTTTGTGGGTTCTGGGAGCTGGACTCAGGTTGCCAGGCTTGTGTGTCAAGTACCTTTATCTGCTGAGCCATCTCGCTCGCTCCAACAGGCCCTACTCTTCTATCTGGTAAACTGTATTATCCACAGCATCTAGAACATTGCTTACCTCTTAGCAGTGTTCAAGAAATACTTGTTAAACAGGGTGTGGTGGCGCAAACCGGTAATCCTAGCACTGGGGAGCTGGAAGCAGGAGGCTCAGGAGTTTAAGGACAGTCTTGGTTATATAATGAGTTGGAGACTGAATTGGGCCATTGGAAACCCAAACCACTCCTTTCCCCACGAAAGAAAGAGTTGTTGACGGGTAGTGAATCAGCCTTGGAACCTCGGATGGACAAGGTGAACTGCTAGGATCAAGGTCACAAATACCTCATTTATGGCACAGCAGAGACCTGAATTCTGATTCTTCATTTTCTAGCCTGCCCAATTTTGTAGGCAGGTCCTAGAAAAAGAAGTCTGTTTCCCGTTCTCCAATTCACATCCTCCATCGCTGAAATTACTAAACTAAATTACATCACTGAATTACTAAGTAATTAATCACTAATTGATTTTCATCGGCCTTGAGAAAGGCTAGGAGTCTTCCACGTCCTGGAACTCTAAGTTTCATGGCAACTGATGAATGAACAAGGTCCCTCACAGCCCACAGGCGTGAACACCCTGACATCCGTGCTCTTGAAGTGTGTTCAACACATCACCACTCAGAATCACCTGGGTGGGGGAAGACAGATGGATGCCGAGTCTTGAAGTTTTAAACAGTAAAGGTCTAGATATATAGTTGATTTGGAGGGATTTCCACTAGGCCATGCTTCTGAGTCCCTTCCCTCTCTACCATGATGGTACATATAAAAAGTGATAATATTTCCGTGTCATGGTGAAGCAAACCTAGGCTGTCTTCTTGACAATACACATCTTGCTTAGAACCCTGCTCATGTACCAGTGAGGAGAACAAGCAGAAGAAAGATATGGATTATACTGTGTTTCCACACCGTCAAGACAGCATGAGAATATGTATGTTTGCAGGATTTTGTGACTGGTATAGTATTTGAGTATAGATAATACTATTATAAGAATATTGCTAAAAGAAGATACTCATTTTCTTTAAAAAGTGAAAAAAAAACCCACTAAGCCCAATCCCTGTTATAGTTTGTTTTATCCGACTGATATAACTTCTGGAAGGAGGGGCCATGTGAGGGATTGTCTATCTTAGTTTGGCCTGTGGGCATGCTGTGCGGGAGTGGCTTGGTTTTGTATTGATATGGGATGACCCAGCCCATAGTGGGCAACATCATTCTCTGCCTTTGGATCACTAGCTGCCTTAAGTTCCTGCCTTGACTTCCTGGAAATAAGAGACAATAAACTTGAGAATGTGAGTCAAATAAAACCCCTTTCTGTGAAGATTGCTTTTGCCAGAGTATTTTTTTTTTTAAATCACAGTACTCGGAGACCAAATTATAACATGGCATATTTATGTTATGAACCTGCTCTAAGCATTTATATACAATAACATAGTTATAGAAAGTCACTTGAATTTTTTTTTTTAAAAAACGCAGATGCCGGGCCCCTACTTGAGAACCCTTAAAGTAAAATCTTGGGGATAGGAGATGTGCAGACTTGGGTGCCTGCCTAGGTGTTCCAAGGGACGGTAGCAGTGAAATCTTAGACATTTGTACAGAGCGCCTCTTCAGCTTAAAAGAGAGCCCAGTTGGAAATTTCCACCCTGCTGTGCGTGCTCAGCTGATCCTTATTGCCTTGGAATAGAGAAGATAAGTACAATAAATACTGAATAGTTGAGTCATCTAGGGAACAGATGGAAGGAGCGAGGGCTCCAATAATGGGAATCAGCTGGAGTAAGGTCAGGTTCAGGAGAGGCCAGGCAAGTCACGGAGCAGCGGGGCTTGCACACAAGATGTTTAGAGCATCTGGCTCTAAAGATATGCAGGACACGTTGTACATGGTGTTTCACGCTTCTAGCCACTAACACAGCAGCACAAAGTAACTATCAAAACTGAGCTCGGATTTCAACAGGTGTTGAACACTGAGTCCAGGTACGGGGCAGCTGCTGAGGATCTGATAGCCCAATAGATTGCGTTTTCCCAAATCTTGAGTCTTACTACCGTGTGGCGATCGCTGTTGGGTGCCTACTTCCTAATTAGTTGGTGCTTTTGTTGGCTGCCTACAAGCAGCTATTTTGTCATCTTAGTCCCCCTCCCCCACCAAAAAAAAAAAGAATTCTGGATTTTCATAGCTTCGCCCAAGAGCCGTTCTGAGTGGAAGGAAGGTTAGAGTTGGGAAAGCTATGCCCTCTCAACAAGTTCCGGGGTGGCGCAAGGACTGATATAACGTGCCAGTCATTTACAAGCACAGGTTTCACTAGTCATTCCCGGCACCGGGAAGAGGGCAGGCAAAAATAATCAAGAGGTGTGTAGTCTGCATTCTGCATCCAAATGCCTGAAAACAAAAGTCGACAATTTCTCTCCCACTATTATTAACTTGCGGGCCTTGCTCGCTAGACGCTGTCACCTGCTCCGCCTTCTCACGCCCCCATGGATTCCGAGTGGGGAGGGAGGATGGAGGCAGGGGCTGGGTCGCCCAGCTCTGAGTCTTGCCTTTTCTTGGAGCAAGTCCGGATCCTCAGTGCGAAGCCGCTCTCCGTGACTTAGCAGTAACCTAGGACTGGAGGGACTGGTTTGGGCTTCCCAGGTGGGGGCCAGGAGTTTTAAATTGCTTTCGGACCCCTCCCCGCTCTTGGGTGGGGGCTGTAATCTTTGGCATCTGCGGCGGAGGTGTCTCCGCCTCGTTCTCCAGGTTGCCTCCCCACCTGCCACGTGCGACCTGCGTGCACCACCTCCCCCTCCACGGAGCGCGTCCCCTTCCCCAAGCCGCGCTGGGTGGGTCTCAGGGACCCGCGGCCTGTAACCTGCCCTCCGCCTGCGCTCGCTCTTCGGTCGGAGGCAGAGCCCGGAGCGCAGATCCAGGCGGGAAGGGACGGCCGGACGGCTGGGCGCCGCGGGCCGCCGCCGCACCGGGCATGCTCAGTGGCACGGCCGGCTAGGTGGCCCGCGAGCTGCACCCGGATCTGCGCGGCGGCGGCGGCGACGTGAGCGCGCAGGGGGGCGGCGGCCTCGCCTCGTCTCTGTCTCAGCGCCGGGCTCGGGTGGGTGACGCGCAGTGCCGGGGCGATGTCGGATTTTGACAGCAACCCGTTTGCGGATCCAGATCTCAATAATCCGTTCAAGGTGAGCGCCGGGCCGCGGCCCTAGCCCGCGCCGAGCGTCGCGGTGGCCGCGGAGGCCCTGCCCCGAGGGTCTCGGGTCGCAGCGTCACCGGCTCAGCCACCAGCCTGGAGGGTCGCAGCGGGCCGCGGACCCGGGGAACCCGGAGCGGAGCCGGGCAGGTGTGGCCGCCAGTACTCCGGCCGGCACGGAGGGCCGCGGGGTGGGGGCCGGGAGGCCGGGGTTCCCGGGCTGGGTTGTCATGGGGACCTGGCGCCGGTGCTGCGTGCGGTGAAGGCAGAGGTGCACCGGAGAGAGGCGCGGGCACACGGACGCTGCGATAAAAAGATAAAGGGGTGTTTTTATTATCGTAAGTCGGTGGCGCCCAGAGCCACCAGTGGCGCTGCCAGAGGCCCCTTTCCCTCCGGGCCCAGCTCAGGGGAACCGGCAGCAAACAGAAGTTAAAAATAAACATCTGGAAACAATAGTGCACGCGGACAATTCCCCACCTAGCTGCTGTTAGCGAGGTGGACCTGGGCCTTTTTCCAAGCTGGGAGTGCGTCACCCGGGCTGTTTGAGGGTTCCGTTCCTCACGTGAGTTGCTTTCCTTGGAGTAGACATGCTCCCCAGCCTCCGGAAGGGCTTGGGACAGAAATGGCCTGGCAGGCCTTTTAAATGTTGGTCATCTGCTTTCAAATTAATGCCGCGACCGAACTCTGCCTTGAAAACTACTTTAGGTCTCTTAATGACTGTGAGGCATAGCAAGGCAATTTCTTCCAACTGTTAGCTTCGTTAGTCGTTTCTGCAGTGCAAACTTTAATTTGTAGTCACAAAGGTGAAATAGGAACTAATTTGTGGTCACCCAAGTGCGGCTTCTGGCTTCTTGGCTTACCGGATTTTAGTCCTTTTGTGGCTTATTGGAGGAAACAGCACCCCTGTCCTGATGGTTTAACCTCATGACTTCATGAAGGATTATTTTAATGAAGCCATCCTACTTATACTTGACAGCTGGACTCATTTTACAAAAATACAGAGGCAACTGTCACCCTCTCCTCTCATTCATTTGCTTTGGTTTTTGTTTTTCGTTGTTTTGAAGCAGGGCATCACTATGTAGCTGGTCGGGAACTTTCTAGTCTCCTACCTCAGCCTCTCAAATGCTGTGATTACAGATAAGCTACCTAGGAGCATTTTAAAGGAAGTTCCCTGTTCCCCAACCCCTACCTGAAGTTTTGTTTCATTTACACATTTTCACATCTGTGTTGTGAAAAATTGTGCTTTTCTTAAATTATGGATACCCAAAAGAAACATTTCATAATTTGCCAGGTGGGTGTTATTTAAAAACATTTAAAGGTAAAACATTAAGAACCCATTTGCCTCTCCTAGCTACGATAATTCTTTGATGCTGTTTATTATGCATCTGACCACGTGACTGTTGATTTTACATTTGGTCACCCATTTCACGGTTCCTTTCATATTAGTCTCTTGATAGGGTGAGATCCTGGCTTCTTATCACAGACTGTTTTGTGTCTTATAATGTTGCCATGATTCCTTCCTTTTTGCCAGGCATAAGGTTGCTGTGATAATTCTAAACACAAAATAGTTTTCAAGTATTAATCATGGTAGAAAATGATTAACATTTTCAGTTTTCTGTAAGTGGATGCATTCAGGACAATGATTCAAGTCCATCAGATGCTTTGAAGGATGGATACTTTCTGTCTAAGTAAGGTTTTGTTGACTTCTCTTTTACCACGTTTCTTTGTTTGTGGTGGCTGTCACAGCACTGCCGGTGTCCCTGTCTCTATCATTCTGTTTATATCTAATCACCCTTCTCTGTCTCAAAGGAACCCTTCTTTCTGCTGCTTTCGCTTCATTTTATGTAGAATAGACTGTTGAAATAATTTTTTTTTCATACCCTTATTTACTAAGTTCCCAGAATGTTTAGCTACCTTTTGATCACTGACTTTTTAAATTTGGTTTTGACACTTGTAATCCACTGTCCTTACTTGACACTTGTTTGCGTGTTTGGTTTTTGAAACTCCTGTAGCAAAAGCTGGCCTGGTCTGGGTTTCCGGCCTTCGCCTTCACACCTCGTGGATGCTGTTTCCCACTGTCCCTGCACTGCTGGGTTAGGAACACTTTTGTAAAAAATCATATCATCTCCTTAGATATACAAGTACAGTGGCTTGCTTGATTTTATTGACGATGGTAAAATTCTTTGTTGAATTCAGTTCCTACGTCTTCTCTGAGCACCTTCTTTATTCCAGTGGTTATGATAGGCCTAGTGAATGGCATTGTGGAATTTCAATGTCCTCTTTGTGCATAAGAAAGTTGAAGTAATTAAAAAAACTATGGTAATCTTAAACAAAATATTAATTTTGGGAAATTTATGAAAATCCATTTTGGAGTTCTTGAAATATGGCTTTAAATCTAGAAAAGGGTTATGCTTCCAAAAAAAAAAAAAAGAAAAAAAGAAAAGGCCTATACATAACCATGCATGCCTGAATCCCAGCACTCAGGAGTAGAGGCAGGAGGATCATCACAAATTTGAGCCCCTGCATGGTTGAGTTCATGTCCCTGTTCAGGCGCCACTGTAAACCGCCTTGGGTGGGTTACTTAGTCTAGGGGTTGTAACCCACCCTGCGGTCAGTTATTCCAGGGTCCTGGAGAGGCATTATCTAAAAAGACATGAGCAAGAGAGAGAAAGAAGGCCAGACAGATTTGTCAAAGCCTTCGTTTATTAGAGTCAGGGTTACAGCTTATATAGGCTAAGGAATTTGGGGGGGGGGCACAGGGGCCTGGGCTCTTGCCACGTGGTTCACATTGGTCACGTAGGCCAGGAGGTTACAAAAGGTCAGGTCACGGTTCCTCGGCCAGGAAGTAACAAGTTGACACACCTTAGTTCTCTAGATAGTTCGAAATGTGAGGCGGGTTCCGCTAACAGATAGCTCTCTATTAACAGATAATTGGGAGTGGAATAGGCTCTGCCAATAGAACAATTCTAATTATTGTTAGGAGTGAGTGGGGTTCTCTGCTAACTCCCCAGGGTGATGGTTCCTGTAATAATTTTTTTTTTGGTTTTTCGAGACAGGGTTTCTCTGTGGCTTTGGAGCCTATCCTGGAACTAGCTCTGTAGACCAGCCTGATTCCTGTAATAATTTTAAGAGGAAACAGCTCCTGATAGAGAGTTATAGGCCAGCCAAGACTAACATTGAGACCCTGTCCCCAAAGTAAAGTAAAGGACAAATATTGTCTACATACTCAACATGTATTTTTTGAACAATTGCTAAAAGTCCCTTATTCTGTTTAGTTTTCATTTAACCAACAGATAGTGAGGCAACACCTCTAATTTTGTAGGTATTAGTTTAATACAGAGGTCAGATATGCCTGTAAAGTAAAAGGAGGGTGTACTAAGCAGTTGAGGCCAACAATACAGACTCCTGCAGTTGACCCATAACACATGATTAAATGCTGGAGGGAGTGTCACTTGTTATAGGAAGGTGGTATTAATAGGGGACCAGGATATCTTTAGACCTTCTAATATGTTTTTGTATTTTAGTGTAATTGAATTAGATAAATCATGGAAATAACATTTTTTTTGTTGTTTGTTTGTTTTTTTTTTGGAGACAAGTTTTCTCTGTAGCTTTGGTGTTTGGTGGCTGTACTGGAACTAGCTCTTGTAGACCAGACTGGCCTCGAACTCAGAGATCCACCTGCCTCTGCCTCCCAAGTGCTGGGATTAAAGGTGTGCGCCACCACCATCCAGCAGAAATAACATTAAGTTAATTAATTTTCAAAACACAAGGAGAATCAGAATTCAGAGCTTGGAAGTATCTGTCCTCAGTATATTTAGTCAGGATATCCTCTGTGGATGAAAACCAAAGGGGCAGGTTGGCTCCCATCTGTAGACCGGTGCTAAACGGCATGTGTCCAGGGCCTCACCCTTGTGTCCAGGGCCTTGCCCGTTGTTGGCAGCACCAGATACACTTGTTCCTTTTTAAAAATTATTGTTATTGTGTGTGGGGGAGTGGGGTGCCAGTGTTCCAGTGTGCATGTGGAGGTCAGACGACAAATCTGTGGAATCAGTTTTCTTCTTCCACCTTTGTGTGGGTTCCTGGGTATCAGACTAAGTTGCCCGGGTTTGTGCAGCAAGCACCTTTGCAGGGTGAGCCACTGCGTCAGCTCTACTCCTTTTTCTTATGTGGACCTTAGCCTTTGAGGCTCTGTGGAGTGGAGCAGAAGGTGGGGTCTGAGTGTGGACTCTGTGGAGTGGAGCAGAAGGTGGGGTCTGAGTGTGGACTCTGTGGAGTGGAGCAGAAGGTGGGGTCTGAGTGTGGGTGTCTGAGTTTGAAAAGGCCTTGATCTGATCCTGATTGTATCACTCATCAGCTAGACGCCTAGGAAAGTCACTCAGCTTCTGGAAGCCCAGTTTACTAGTCTCTAGAATAAGATCAGCTATCTTGTGCGGGATAATTGTATGTTGGCTTGATACAGGCTAGAGTCATCTGAGAGGAGGGAATCCCAACCTGGAATCCTATGTCTTCATAGGATTGGGTTCTAGAGCAGTCATTCTCAACCTGTGGGTCACGACTGCTTTAGGGGTGTCACATCAGGCAGCCTATATATCAGATATGTACCTTATAATTTATAGCAGTAGCAAAATTACAGTTATGAAGTAGCAGTGAAATAATTTTATGGTGGGGTGGAGGTATTAAAGGGTCACAGCATTAGGAAGGTTGAGAACCACTGTTGTAGAGCATTTTCTCAATTAGTAATTGATGTGGGAGGGCCCAGCCTACTGTGGGTGATGCTATCCTGGGTTCTATAAGAAAGCAGACTATACAAGCCACGAGGAGCAAGTAAGTAAGCAGCACTCCTCCATGACCTCTGCTTCATCTCCTGCCTCTGTGTCCAGCCCTGTTTGAATTCCTGCTCTGACTTCCCTCAGTGATGAACTGTAACCTGGACGTGTAAGCTGCAATAAACCCTTTCCTCCCCAAGTTGTTTCTTAGGTCATGGTGTTTTGT